ACCCCTATATGATACAAAAATCAGGATAAAAAGTTATTGCATGGTTCAAATCTCTAGTAAGTCAGCTAACAGAGATAAGGTTGCATTTTGAAATTGGGAATGAGAAACATGTTTCTAATCCTTATTTTATTTGATAAATTGCAACTCCATTTACCCTTGACTAGAATGGAGTCGCCATTGGGTATAGTTATTGGTGCCTCATGATCACAATCAATTCTCTTTTCAAGTAAAACCTAGATCACATGTCATATGTTTTGTGGCACTGGTATCAACAATCCAAGATTTATTATTCACATTCTTACCAGCCACGTTGACTACGGGTTCTACACCCTTTTTGTTGGCGCCTTTGGTGAAGTGTTTAAGCAATCTTTCGTATTGTTCATTAGTCATAAAGGGAACCTGTGTAGTCTCCTTGTTGACAGAAACGGCTTTGGGTCGTCCTTTTTATTTCTTTCCTTTGCCAGGTCACCACTCAGGATACCCAATTCGCTTGCAGAATCCATCTTTATTATGTCCTGCCCTCCCATAGAAAGTGAAACTCTCCACCTCGTCAACACCATTGCGCTTTATCTCCTTTGTTCCACCTTTATTGCGCTGTGAAGTGGAGTCGGTAAACCATTCTCATCGATTATGAGTGATGATTTGGAAGGTCGCGGTCTCTTGTGCAGGTTTTCTAGTGGTGTTTAACCACCCCGTGATCATAGTGTCACACCTCATCCATTGCATGTACTGTGCCAATCCTTCTTTTGGCTTATGGATTGACCCATCGACAAAACCAATCTTATTCTTTGCTAATAAAAAAACTCTTCATCTCTTACACCCAATCTCCATAGTTACCATCGGTTAGAGCATCGTTTACCCGCATTTGCCTCGAATAATCGGAAGAATGGGGGTAGTAAGGTGAGTTTGAATCGATGGCGTTTCCATTGTTTTTCGGTGGTGACGGATGATCATCTCCATCCATGTTGTCGATAGGTGGGACGGGTCAATAAACCAGTCTCTGATACCATAAAAATTGTTATGGATCGACAACTTTATATTTCATTAAGCAAGCTAAGTTTAAATTGGTTTAGCAAATCATATGACAATATTCAAAAACATGACACTTAGCAAGACTAAAGGATAAATACTAAAACACATGGGATAAACTAAACAAGAGATAATGATAGAATCCAATACCCACTTGGCAATCTCAACATCATTCCGAAGAGATCTTCGGTGGTGAAGGTGGTCTTAAGTGATACTCGAGCGAATGTCACAGAAGAGAAAAATATAAACCATTCAAATCCTTTCAATGTTGCATCTTTCATCTACATTTTGTGGTTCTTTGTTTCTTTTGGTGTTGACTCTGTTTTTTTATTGATTATGTTGTTAGAATCAAGGTACTGATGAGTAACATTGTTGTACGTAAAGTTGGTCCAATGTTTTTGAGGATGGGGTCATCAGAGTATACACAAGGAAGATGAAAGAGTTGTGAAATGGAAAGGGCTTTTAGTCATTTTATTTTAGAGAAATTAAATTGTTTCCTACTTTTTATGCTTACAAATGTTTCTACCCAATAAAATTATGACAAGTGTCATCATTCCATATTTTTTAACTAACTCATTAAGGCTATATTATGAATATATCAAATAAAATTAAATTGAGTGATGATTTGTCATAATTTTAGTGGGTAGGAATAATTATAGGAATAAAAGGTAGGAGATAATTTAATTTCTCTTTATTTTATGTTCTGGTGTGTTCCACCCTTTTGGGTGAGACTAAAATGGAGTAAATTAGTCTCATTTGACCAAGTCAATAACCGACTTTGTCCGAGTCCCATGTATGTCAAACGCTACTTTAGGGGACCCTCTTCTGTTCTATCTAGTCTAGTCTAACGCAACAAACGCTATTTTAATAACATATTTGACACAATTAGAACTTTCCATGAGTCGAAATTTAAATTTGTGATAATTAATTGTGATCTTATGTCATTAACTCTTAAGGGTATAGTATGATAATTAAAGTATGTTATTATAGGTGATATTCACTTGTTATTTTTAGACATACAAGAGTCGAGAGGCTCAGACCCCGTAGCCCATCACTATTTTCTTATTTGAACATGACCTTTTTATGTGAAATTTGAATAGAAAAAATCAAATCCTTCAAATCAACTCATATTTGGTTGGTTTATTCGGTCCAACTATGTACAGTATTTGGACAATTTGTTTTATAAAGTTACATCAATCAACGTTGTAAGTTTTTTCGATCACAAAAGCCTAAAATGAACGATATGTGCTTCTATTCTCTAACTTTCACACAAACATTTTATTGTTATTTTATAAACGGTAACTTGAATCTTGAGAGATTTGGTTATGATCGATGTTAGTATTAATTGGAGTCATATATGATGAATAACTCTATTAATATACATATATACATGTATATATTTTGCTTTTTGTTAGATTGTACGGTCACTCTCACTCCGAAGTCAAATAGTTTTCAAGTATGAATACTTGAAGAGCAATACCCCACACATGCATGAGATGAAGGGTCAAACAAAGCCCCTTTAATTGAATCAATTGTAAATATCTTCCCTCTATAATCTTTTTGTTTTTCAAACGACAGTTATGTATTGATTCCACATTCCACCACTACTTGTCTGAAATTGGTCGTTAAACTCAACTTGTGCCATGCTAATGATATTCTTTAGAACAAAATCATGAGTTTGTCTCTTGATCGAATTTAAATGTGAATCTTGAAAATATTATGTGATATATAAAAGAGAATAGGCCAAGTCTATAAGGGGGCTAGTGTAAATATTAGAAGCAATGACGCAAGAGGGCATAGGCGGCCGCAGCCCGTATTACTTCTAATTATTAAATAAATAAATAAATAAATAAATAATTAAAAAGTCAAATATTGTTGATTTTGTAGTGTTGACAATGATTTGATCGTTTAAATGTCATATATTTTTATGTCCAATAGTTAAAATAATAATAATGCCGAATAAATATACAGTTGTTTCTTGATAATAAGATAAATAATTATGAACAATAATCAAAGTTAATGACATAAAGTGATGGTTACCATGGGACAAAAATAATAATAACAAGGGTTTAATAATTATCCCAAGCATGTATCTTTAGGCTGAGGGAGTGGTGTCACAAAAGTTGCACTCCCTTCACTGTTACGTAGGCGCCACATCACTTTTTATCACAAAAGTATGGTTTCATACCACACTCAATGAATGATGGCACTCTTAGGTATTTTTTTTTAATAAATAAAAGAGACCAATAAAGGGGAGGTAAGAAAAAAAAAATCAATCACATTGCTTGAAGGAGTGCTCCATTGGAATGTCACACTGCACCTCTACCGCACCCAGAGGGCGGTGTTCCTGCTGATGTGGCACTCAAGTGCGGCAGGGACCGCAAACCACTCCCTCCGGTCTTAGTGTTCGAAAACAAAGTTATTTTATTTTTTGTTTGATAAAAGAAGAATATTTATTGCATCATGTTGATTCAGTTTTGATAATAATTAGTTAGTAGGAGATGTCTAATTAGGAGAAGGAACAATTCAATAAAAAGATAAATAAATAAATAAATAACAATTTAGATGTATATGTTGTTAATCATATCAAGTTATCAACCACTCTTGATAATTTATGTTGATTAATTTAATTAAAACTTGGATGAAAATGATAAAATTAATATAATTATAATTAGTATATAAATACGAATATCTTTTTTTTTCTCAAACTTGTAATGCTAACATCTCTTTTACGTCACTTTAATTTAATATATATCTATGCATGAAAGTATGAAATGAATTAATCTTGTTGTGGAATGGAATACATTTGTTCTAGTTTTAATAAGATTTTCAGTTTTTTTTTTCCTTTTCACTGTGAAAGTAGGAATATTTATAAATCACATCCTTGTAATTAGAAATAATTTGGGGCTACTTTATTTTGATTTTGAAATGTTGATTTATTCACAACACCTACCAACAAACAATAGATCTGTCTTTTACGATGGATCCTTTAAAGAATGTAATTTGTAGGTGATAAACCTTCTTTTGTTACAATGTGAGATTTTCGGGTGGGTGGCTTTGCATAATTACCTAACTACTACATATAAAAACATAAAATATTAACAATTAATACATGTGAGTATTTCCAACAGGGAAGCTAAAAATATTAAACAAATTAACAGTTTAACACAAGAAGACGACACGAAAGTACTCCAACAAAGAACATATAAAGCAAATACTATTTGTTAATGCAATTTTGGTACAGGTCCTTACTAGGAAAGAACATGACCACGACTGAAATTTAGTCTTTTTTTTTTTTTTTTTTTATAATCATATTCAAACTTTGATGGATTAATTATTCATACAACTTGATACATATTGGAACTCAAACCGTACGAAACTCTTTATACTTTTAAGATGGTTAATAACAAAATAAATAACACCTACAAAATTGAATTCAATATTATTATTTTTTAATATTGAACTCATATCATGTGGGAGATTATTAAGGCTAAAGAGTTCAACAAACCTTGACCATTTCCTTTATGTTTCGCTTGCATACTGCAATTGTTTAAAAGTCCTGATTTTTTGAATAGTTGACCAAAACTTTAGAAAAAAAAAATAGAACATTTGAATCGTTCTTTACTGAATCTATGTCGCGGGAGATACGTTCTACTTCTATTCCAGAGAAAACAATACAATAATTAACTTTTAGGCTTTACTTTCATTCAATAAAACAAAATGCTGATAACACGTCATATTCTAAATTAATTCTTCGTCAATCAACGATTCAATTTAATCTAGAATTTTTCCTTATCCAAGAAAACTTAAACCAATTTTCCCTATATTCTTTTAATATTTAGACAATGAGCCCATGATTCATTCTTTCATTCAAATATACGAACCCAAAACAAAACAATTACAAGACTAGAAAGCATAGATTAAATAAAAACTAGCAATTTCAAACTATTAATATGGAAAATAAATCTTAACGACAACTTGTACATAACGGAAAATATTTTGATAAATTTACCTATGAAATAATATTAATAATGATAAACCGAATTCCAGTTATTTCTGTCTTTTCCTGTCATCTTCCTCTTCATCAGAATCACCATGCTCACGAAAACGTGGGTTTTTCTCCTGTTTTAATAAACATAAATAATCATAATTAAAAAATTGTTTTAATTAATTATCATACAAAACAAAATTCATTTTACCTGTTTGGAATCAAAATCAGAGTTTCTTCGAGTTTCATTTTCAGAATTCCTCTTGGCCACATCGGGCCCACGTCGATCTCGATCATCATCACGGTATCTCTTCCTTTGATAATCTAATATTTTTTATAAATAATTAAATTCAAGATATTTCAAAAAATAAATACAAAAAATATATAAACAAAAAAGTAATATTAATTAAATACCTCCTCTGCCATGCCTGTGGCCACCTCCCCCATACCCATGACCACCTCCTCCATGTCTTCCATCTAATTTCACAAAACTATTAAAATTTCCATAATAAATAAAATAAAATAAAATTGTGAACTTACAGTTGGCAGCCATGGGAGGTGGCTGAAAAGATCCCAATGATCCAACCCCATAATCAACAACCTGCCTTTGTTCTTCTAATTCTTTTTGCACCAATTTTCCATAACCACCCCTATGTTTGACCAGTCAAGGAAACCTCAACCAAAATTCCATCTACTTATGTTTTCACTTAATATAAAGGGTAATATGGTAATTTAGTCTCTCATCCAGATGCTTATTCAGTCTAAGACTAAATAAACCGTCTGAATGAGACCAAATGACCGTTTTACCCTTACATTCCAAAAAACAAACTTCTTAACAAATTTTAACATGAGAGGAGAAGGGCAAATAGGTAAATTTAACTCATTAAGTAAAAAAATAAAAGGATATCAGGATCATAATCTGTGCGGTATTCATCTCTAACTTGTCCACCACTACGGCCACGTCCCCATTGTCTTCCATCCTGAAACCCCCAATCAAAATCAACACGAATAGGCCGATCATCAAGAATTGTCCCACTTATGTATTTCACTGAATCTTCAGTGTCTTCCCTAGAATAGTACCTGATTTTTTTTTTTAATTTTTTTTTAAATAAATGTAAAACTTTATTAACTAAAATAAATCATTTATGATTTGTAAGGTGAAACGATTATATTACATGATGAAGCAGAAGCCACATGGTGTTTTTGTGTTCTTGTCTAAACCCATGACAATCTTTTTGATTTCTCCTGCACGAGAGAAGAGCTCATAAAGTTGCTCTTCAGTGGTGTAGAAAGACATGTTGCCAATGTATACAGTTGTTGAAGTTTGGAGTGCGTGTTCATATTCTTCTTGTGTTCCTGGAAACCTTCTGTCACGATATGCTGAAATCTTTGTTGGATCCTATAACATGGGTAATGAATACAATGCACACTGATAACTCATCCAAATAGTGGTAATTTAGTAATAGTAAAAACTGGATAAAATAAATATATTGGATGTTACCTTGAACAGCAACGCCATTGCACCTTATCTGAAAATGAAGACAAGTAGGATGTTACTCTCAAGTTAATATGTTTACAGAAACAACTCTGATGATGTTTAAAAAGATTGTCATGTTTACAGAACTATCTCATTTGTTGCATGAAATTATGGTACCTAATGTTACTCCGATTCCCCTAAAATGTGATAGTCAAACTGAGTAAGAGTAATTATCAATGCCTGAGCCCTAAAAATATTGAAATCGGTAATAGAAACGGATAAATGTGGTTTTTCTTTGGATTCTACAAGCATTTAAGGATCATTGGCACTTGAGCACAGGATTATTTAGAAGTCGGTTTCATTAAACAGTCTCTTTATTTGCAGAATGGCAATTACAAACAGAAAACTTAATTCAATTTGATGGCATAAACGAGTATAACCTAGTTTATTTGAAGTGATAATAGGAACCAGTTTTTTGGGCATAAAAAGTCATACAGTCGATTAATCACAGAATAGATACAATTTTTGAAGGTTTTGAAAGTTACCTTGTTGTTTCGATGTTGAAGATGGCGAGAAGAAGGGAGGAGTGCGGCTGTTGCGATCGGAGCGTGAAAGAACCGACGGTGTAATACTTGATAGATACTGCCCTTTTTTTTTCTGTTTACGGGTAGCCCAATCCAACCATTAAGTAGTTAAATACATACGGGCCGGCCCAAATAACCTTATTTCCATTCAATTTAAATCTTTCAAAAATCAAAACTAAAAACCTTACCTTCTTCCACGATCGATAGGGTTTAAAATCCCTCCAAACTCTTATCGGCAATGCCTGCTGGATCGCACGACCGTCGTTTGTAACTGGCGGCGCTCTGCTATCACTAGTACTCCGGCTCCGGCACCATCCCAAGGCTCTACTCTCGGCCTCTAGACCACCGCTCTCTGCCAAGACAGCCTCTCCGGTCTCCGTCTATCTTGCTGTTGTTCTTGCCCTCACTTGAGTCTCGACTCTTCTCTAATCGATTTAGGTTTTTCACCTCCACTGAATTTTCTTTAATTAAGTATAAGATTTTCATTTTCTATTTTTTTTTATTATTTAGTTGTCAAATGTGCAGAAACTACAGCGTACCTTTTGCTTTACTTTGCTTGTGAAATTTTCAATTGATAGTTACAAGTGTTCTGTCACTTTATTGTACATTTGCTATATTTTTTTTTTTTTCGATTTTGTTGCTTTTGAATGTATGAAAAAATAAGAACTCGTAGAGTTAGATATTTAATTATCATATTGTGCACTTAATGAATGGTTTTTAAAATCTATAAGTCATACAAAACATAATTTAATCTCATTATGAAATTATACTTTTTAGTTTTAGCATTATAAATTAGATGATGACAAAGGTTGGTTTTTAATAGTTGGCTTAATTTCATTTATATCCTCATAAACTTTTAATATTACGATAATATCCTTACAAATATTAAAACTACATATACCTCCATTTAAAACTATAAAATTTAGGTCTATATCCAAACTCATATTTTAATTAAGATTAAATCAATTTAATATTAAAAACTTATATAAAAATCAAACTATCACATAAGATTACTAAACTACCCTTTTTATGCCTTACGAAATCTCTGTGTATATCTTTCTGAAACTCCATCAATGCTCGCTTTTTTTCGCTTCATCCTTATACACACACAAGAGATTTGTTTATATATGTTATTTGATGATTCCTTTATCTAACGTCAAAAACCCAAAATGCATAAAAGGCCTATTTCACACACAAATATCAAATCCAATTGAAATTCTTTTCTTATAGTTTTCTCTTAGTAAATTAAATATCAATTCCTGTTTATTAAAAAGAAATCAAAATATAATTTATATATATATATATATATATATATATATATATATATATATATATGTTTATGTAATTTTTGGAATGGAAGAAAATGAAAAAGAAATAGAATTTGGTATTTAGATAATAAGTTAAAGTAAGTAGGAGTTGATATTTAATTTATTAATTATGAGAAAACGAAATAAGAAGAAAGTTAAATTGGATTTATGGTGCGCTTGACTGTGAATGGAAATAAGCAAAACACAAACATACACATCTATTGTATATGTATCGATGATGAAGCTAAAAGTAAAAACAGAGCCTCAATGGAGTTTAAGAATCATATACAAAGAGACAAACATTGGAAGATATGCTAAAAGTAATAACAGAGCCTCAATGCAGTAAATGGTCAGTGATTTTGTCCCCAATGGAAGCATCAAAATAATCTAGGATTGGGAGCGTTTTGTTTGGTTGGGAATTCAATGAGGTTTTGGCATGATAGTGATTCAGGATGGGCGGTCTGTTAGGGAGCCAGACCAATTGAGACTTCAGAATTCGGGTTTCAGGTAAGGTAGAAATGGTTTTCTGCAAGGGATTAAGGATTCGTTCATCATCGAATTGGGAGAGTTCTGCTAAGGATGGGTTTGGTAGCCTTGGAAAGGTCGTTGTATGTTCGGGGTTGTGGTTGTGTTGTTCAGGCTGTCTGGCGTGCTTGGGGATGGTAAGGAATGATTTCGAGCACGAAATCTAGTTTAAATGGGGGAGAGTTGTAACACCCGGAATCTTGAGGAGAATTGTTGGGAGTAAAGCCCCTTTTAGGGTTGGACACAACGTGTTGGAGGAACCAACACGGCGTGTCTAGATTTGAAGAAATGCGAAGATTAATGGACCAACATAGCATGTTGTGGTATCTTAACACGGCGTGTTGGCAGCTGGGAAGCAAACCCTAATTTTAGGGTGTTGCACCCTATTTAAAGGCCTTAAGTCCTCATGGATGGCCTCCTTACCAGCCTCCATTTCCACTCAAAACCTATATCATCCCTTAAGCTTTCTTGGTGGTGTTCTTGAGCCTTGAGTGGATTCTTGTGGTTGTTTTGTTCATTTCTAAAGGAAGCTTTGAAGATTGAAGGTGCTTAGCTTGGAAGGAAGATCATAGATACAGAATCTCTCCATTTCTTGCAGTCTCTTTGAGGTATCAAGTTTGCATCTTGACTTGTGTTTGATAAGATCTCTTCATGGCTAGTTTATTATGATTTTGGTCTCCTTTTCGGGTCCACGGATGGGTTGGGTTGTTTAAGGGATTGTTCTATCAGATCTGAGTTTGTTTTGGTATCCTTGAGCATAAAGGTGCAAGCTTTATGTGGAGAATGGTGTCATGCATGCTTTAAGCCCTCTATTAAGTCCCTTTTTAGCTTAAGAGCTTCATTTAGTCATGTAGGGATGTAAAGTTGGCAACTTTACGTGATAATCCATCTCAAGGAGGTCAGATCTATGTTTTGGGGCCAAGCCTTTATGGATTAAGTGCTTAATGGTTGAGTTGTTGAATCTCGGGCAAACACGACATGTTTGCAAGCCAACAAGGCGTGTTGGCTAAGGGATTTCCCGATTATCTGGATGATGGAAGAACACAGTGTGTCCTAGGGGCAACACGGAGTGTTTGGTCAACATGGGTTGTTGACTTTGACTTTGACCAGGAGTTTGATCAGGGTGACCATGAGTTATGTTGGGCTATGTTTGGGCATTAGGGTAAGGCCCATATAAGGGGTTTTGGCCCAATTTGGAAAATTGGGCCAAGTATGGGCCTTGAGTGATTATTTGGTTTTGGGCCTTTTAGATTTTGAGTTTGGGCCTCAGTTTTGGACCAAGCAAGGTTAGGGGTAAAATAGTCTTTTTACCCCAACTATGGATTTATGGATTATGGATTAGTATCCAATTATTAATTGGGTGTTGTTTTGATGTGACAGTTCGGGGATCTGTCAGCCAGCAGCTAGGGATTGTCTATGTGATTCGACAGTGCGAGGTGAGTCTCCTCACTAGGTTTAGTGGGTCGAAGGCACCAATGTCGACCCATGGTTTTATGTTAGGAAGCTAGATGTCCGTTCGACTCTTGCGCGTGTTATATGATGATATATTTACCGGGCAAGGCTCGATGTCAGGCGTGGCTTGAGGAGGTTATCGTATGTTAATTATCAGTATGTGTCTTATGATTACCGGGCGAGGCCCAATGTCGGGCGGGGCTCGATGACTATATGGAATGTTATAGTCTTTGTGATTATTGCATGTGTTAGTAGGTTGTATGTTTATATGATTATATGGTTATATGATTATGTGAGTATCGGGTGAGGCCCAATGTCAGGCAGGGCCTGGAGAATGACAGATCTGTAATCCGAGCGGGGTTCGATGACGGGCGGGGCCCGAGGCCGAGTGGGACTCGAGACTGGGCGAGGCCCAATGGAGGGCGGGGGCCCAGTATGTGATTTATGTATATGTGGTATGTGGTATCTTGGGGAACTCACTAAGATTTGTGCTTACGGTTTTCAGTTTATGTTTCAAGTACTTCCGTTTTCAAAAAGGAATGGCTCGGGTTGACTGCATGACACAAACACTTTATGTTCCGCGGTTGACCTTGTTCTGGGATTTATACTCTGATTGTAATGTATCTGTTTTGAAACAAGTAACTGATGATACTTCTTCTATAATAAAAATGAAATTTTATGTCAATATTTTTTTGGATGTTACATGTACCATAGTCGTGTTGCTCCCGGTAGGGTAGTTGGGAAGAAAATACACCAATATTTTTCATCAAGGTAATAGGCGTCCATTGTAACACCCGCAAATTCATTCTACACATAATAAGTAATAATTATTAAAATTAAATCATTGATTAGGATAATCTATAGTCGTGCGTGCTGCAGACTATATAATACGCGTTTCGTATTAAGGAAAAATAGGAAAAATCAGCCAAATCGTCCGTAAATCAATAAGTGCGCCCATATATATATATATATATATATATATATATATATATATATATAGAAAGTGCACGTCGTTCTGATCCTGAAAATATAAATTTCATAGAAATCCGACTCCGTATGAATTAGATATATAAAAGTCAGACGCGCACAAGGAATATGTGACGTTAAAAGTTACGAAGAGAATGGTAGAATTTACAAAAAAAAAAACAAAAAAAAAACAAAAAAAACATAGTCCATATGAAGGAGGTAGTAAGACTTCACGGTGTACCTTTAACGATTGTATCGGATCGTAACAGTTCGTTTCACATCAAGATTTTGGAGGAGTCTACAAGAGTAAATGGGTACGAAGTTGTGTTTAAGTACAACCTACCATCCGCAGACTGATGGTCAGAGCGAAAGAACGATTCAAACATTGGAAGATATGCTAAGAGCATGTACCCTGTAATTTCAAGGTAACTGGGATGAGCCTTTACCCCTGGTAGAGTTTTCCTACAACAATAGTTACCATTCGAGCATTAAGATGGCACCTTGTCAAGCTTTGTACGGTCAGAAGTGTCGTACGTCGTCTTGTTGGCTTGAGGCCGGAGAAAAGCAGTTTATGGGCCCCAGAATAGTCCATCAGACTACTAAAAAGCTAAAAGTAATTAGAGAAAGGATGTTGGCAGTTCAAGATTGCCAAAAGAGCTATGCTGACAAGAAGCGACGACCGATGACATTCGAAGTTGGAGATTCGGTGTTACTCAAAGTCTCACCGTGGAAGGGACTTATAAGATTTGGAAAGAGAGGAAAGTTGAGTCCAAGGTTTATTGGACCATTCAAGGTTCTTCATAAGGTTGGAAACCAAGCTTACAAGTTGGAATTGCCAGAAGAACTAGATGGTATTCATAACACTTTCTGTGTGTTGTTATTTGAGGAAGTTTAGGGGAGAAGTTCCCGATATAATTCCACTTTCGGAGTTAAGGATGGATGAAAATAAGAGGCTAATCGAAGGGCCTGAGGCAATTGTTGACCGTAAGACAAAGAAATTACGACGCAAGATGGTCGACTTAGTGCTTGTGCAATAGAAACATACGCATGGGCCGAACCTCACCTGAGAAACATAAAGTGACATGATGAGTCACTATCCACATCTGGTTGTTGATGCATGATTCCAGGACGAAATCATCCTAAGGATGAGAGAATTGTAACGTCCATATTTCTAGGCTAAGCATTATTCTAATGATGTAATAGTTAGGGTCAACAGTTGTAACCTATTTTGAAGTA